CTAAAAGAAAAGCTTATAAAAAGCCATATTTTCTTGTGCTTCTCACGCAGTTTATGACACACCCAAACTCCGAATTTCTGTGAATGTTTCGTACGTTGAACGTCTGGCAATATTTCTACGATTGCTCATTGACTTGCTCACTACCATTACTCATTTTTACGAGTAATGGTAGTGAGCAAGCTGTTTACCACCCAAAATCGCTATCGACCTCGGATGCTTGATCGGGATGGGGCACACCCCTCAAGTACAATCTTTCATTTTCGAACTTAGCAAGCCGCTTTGAATTTTTTTGGGGTTATAAAGCTTTCACCGCACGTGGAATAAATCTCTTGCCGCTCCGGTAACTTGTAATCTCGGGAGACAGCAAAGTAAGTCTCAAAAATGCATTTTCACCTAGAACGTCTAACTTCGGAATCTGAATTCGACATGGAACTCCATTCACCACATAATCAAATTATTCAGAAAAGTTCTTTTGAGCAGCAAATAAATGTAACGATAATAGTAGAGCCATAAAACGAAAAGGGAGTATTACAGGCAAACAGCCAGCAATAATTTTTTCAATAATTGGAGGAACACAGCAAAATATACAACTCCGAAAATAACGCGGTTACTATTATTAACACTGTTTTCGTTACGGTTATCATCAGTAGTCATTTATTTATGTTTACTTGTATTATAACTAAAAAAATGTACGCAACTTCATGATTTTTAAACAAAAGTTTAGTTGACGCAAGACACCAAGCCATGGTAGACATTTTATATCATAAAAAAATACTCGTGACTGTCACATTTTCCTTCTATCATCATGCAGGGATACGTCTCAATATGCTGAAATGAAGGCAAATGGAAATCCTACTTGAAGTCTTAGATTTTATGCGGCGGATGTAGAAGGCCGCTTAAACAATGAAAATAGCTATCGTTTAAGATATTGCATGATCAACAAACTATTGAAATGTCACTTACATTTAATTATTGTTTACCCCACAAGTTTTACCGGTTGGCGTCGCCAGTTGAAATTTGCGTAATAAACGTGCACAATTATGATAATTCGTCAACTGCAGTAAAAGTAGACAGCATTTGAAATAAAAAGAGAAACCTGTCATTATTGGTCGATTAAATCATTTACGAGACTTCTCGAGATCTTCACACCCAAATTCACGCCATCGAGAGTTTACGATTAATGATAAAAACGACAAATTTTTATTTAGAATCAGTCATTTTGGTTATGCTTGACATCAATAGCTGTACAGGAAGGGCCGATAGGTTTAATGTCAAATATGATTTCTTCAATGCAGATAGAATTTAATCATATACGTCCTACAGACAAGATTTAAGGGTGATGCTAATATATATGTATTATTATACTTTATAAAATAAATCTATAATGTAGCCATCCTTTATTTGGCTTCATAAATAGCCTTAAAGGCACTTCATGCTTTAAAAAAAACAGTTGCTTCGTTTTGACATTCTTATATCTATATTGAAGTGCATTTTACTGCCATAGAACAATATATAATACTGCGGTTGCCTTTGCCTGACTACGTCCTTTCTAATGTTACGTCCCAAGCTGGTTTTCCCAGGCAGAAGCTAAACGTGCCGACTGAATGCATTGTAAGGAACTGGAGCAACAGTCACAGATTTGCTGTAGAGGGAAACTGCGGAACGATTTCATCACGATTGACGCACTGAGGAGGAAGGAATTGTTTTCTATCTGCCCGTTATTACCTCTGCTCGCTCCTCGTTCTCCGTTATTTTGCGCACTGGATTTTTGCCTGTCGTTTGGATCGCAAGCTTCGACGTAGCCATGTCTTCATGATCCTGAGGTAAGCTGCAATACAACCTGAGAGTATATAACCTGTTTTTATTCTTATTATTAATTTCATTATTATTATATCCCCTCCTTAATTGTTCCTCCATTACTGTCAAGTTTAGATCATTCAATGTGAGATAAGTGAGTTTTTTCAATCGTTTAAAATTCTATTAATTTACAGTTTATATATCATTTTATTCCCGTTCCATAATATATTGGGAGTCAATCCCCAACGTGAGGATATAAGAGCAATGTTTCAAGTCTTCCGAAAACAACCCGTATATTTAGAGTGACTATTCCACGCATATTTTACATAATAAGAGAGATTTACAGCAGAGTAGATCGGAATAACTTTGTTGATGTTATCTTAGTGACAATAAAGTAAGCGTGTTTGTATATTTTTGCACGAAAAAGGAACCAGACAAACTTGGCTGTTCGGAGAACCTTTTCTGTCTATACGAGTACTGAATATAAGTAGAGCTTGTTGTACATCAAACAGTCTGCCCTTAATAGCATAATCCCTATTTCATAACAGTAGTTGACTTCTTTTATAATAGCTACTAGAATCTTATAATTGTTGATCTCAAGCCGGTCAAGTTTTACCCTTTATCGGCTTTTCTCTTTTTTTTTTTATCGGCATAGTTTTTTACGTTTCCCTTATAGCCAATGGCCGCTATACAATACCATGATAGTATCATTGGTTTCAGTAAGATAACGTACTCAATCTAGAATCAGTATGAACATCGTATCCCTTGAAGATACTTCTCCGCAAGGATAACTGACACTATTCTATATCCTGATCATAATAACAAACAATCTCGTTAGCAATTGAAATCGTATTTATCCGTTCATAGTAACAATTTAGAGGCATCCTCTCCGAGCACTACTACGAACAAACTATATATATTATTCGTATATATATAACTAAACAAAGCATATATAAAGAATTATGCTCTACACTATATCTGGGCATTTCCATAAGTTTTTCCTTTTGTTGCAGCTGCCTGCGTTTAGTGGAACTGTCGACCGCCGAAGTCTAGCTTTGCCGTACGATACGTACGTTAGTACGTGTTTCTCTCGATTTCTTCCGGAACACTACTTTAATATCCAGATATCGGGAATACATTAAGCTGCGGTCTGTGGTCGTCATCATACAGATACAGTGAAATGGGAATTAAACCGGCAAATAACCGGTATATATGCAACTTGTTCGTGCTTAAACTGTGAGCGCGCGTCGCGGCTTGCCACTCGATCATACGGCGAAGCCTTCATACCGCAAATACATATATGAATTTTTCGACACTACTTTCGTAATTGACAAATTAAGAAAAATAGCAACTTTTCACGAAAATAATACGTTGTAAAAAAATAACATTTTTACTGGCTTTCAGCAGCTTTTCCTGTCGCTGCAGCACTGGAAAGGCATCTCGAACCTAATACTGCCAATACATCTTGTAGAAATTCACAGACTGTCTTAACGTTGAGAAAAAGGTAAATCGCGATAGCTAGTAAAAGCTGAACGTGCCGATTTCCACCTGACTTTCGTTTGGGTTACAAGTAGGCGTTGACGTATCTCGGCCAGTTTAGGTAGCTGATTCATGCTGAGACCCTTTTTGGGGTAATAGAATATCTTCGACGACCGAGATTAGCCCCAGACATGAAGTAGGGGGAACGCAAGAAATGAATGTACATGATGTTTCCTTCCTAACATTCGGCTTAAGTCACACTTTCGTGTCTTTTTTGGCACGTGCTTTTTCAAGAATGATGTTCTAAAGGTGATATAAGCGTGCGTTACGCCCCGTCCTTTAAATACCAACATGACTTAGTGAAACCTATTAAGTTATTTCATATGAGAGGTTCAGCATCATATAAGTGCAAATAGAGTGATAACTGTATATAATTAATGCAAAAAGAATCAACACGTAGCAACTGGCATAAAAACTTGATTTGTCCAAAATATTCCCATCGATATCCGCAAAAGGTATTATCTCGACGGTGAAAAAGAACCGCTTTAAAACGAAACTTCTTTGTCACTGTATCAATAACTATCGATTTTATCTATTGTATTCGTTCTTTCTTTATTTAAAGTTTCATCATGGAACCTCCGGCTTCACCGCTGACATTATCTACTGCCCATGGTTCTTTTGTATTTCCGTACAGCTATAGAAATGATTGCAGGCAGTGTTATTGCAATGAACACATGTCTCCTTATTTAGCATCGTGGTCCTTGCTATAGCTTCTTATATGACATAAAAACTTTAAGCTGCATAATTATTTCTATTAAGTAGCTGTATACAATCGTGGCGGTTTATATAGTTGTACCTTCTTACAACTTTATTTATTCTATTGGCTTTATTGAACTCTATTGACGATTGAATTTCAGACGCTGAAAGCATTTTGCTTACCGTAGAAGAGCGCTGTCACCGCTTTGCCCCTGTAAGAAAATTTTACTTTGTGCTCGCGTCGCAGTTACATCTCATTAACACAAATATATATATATATATATATACATTTGTGTGTGTAGAGGTAGTAAGAGAAAAACCAATGGAAGTGGATTATGAGATAAGAACAGACTTTCGTTATGTCGTATGTAGGCCACAAGCATTACTAGTAGAAGCATTTGCCTATGGCGCCGAGTTTTATGAAAATCTACCTAGAAAAGAAGATCGTCAAGCTATTGCATAGTGGCTTCTTTTCGGCCGTCAGTGTGATACGTGGTGCCTTACGCTATAATTGGACGTAAGATAAATATGTTAAATCCTGAGGGACACGATCTGATAAAAAACCAAGCCATCAGGAAACGAGTGACTTAGTTATAGCTTAGTTTAAGGAACATGATAAAGTGCACTAACTTATCTATCTTTATATTAGTTCCTCGTATCAAATGGCGATGTAAGTAAGCTTACTATTGTTTTACACATAGTTGAATATTACCTATCATTAGTATCTCTTTGTTTAGTTGAGAGGGAGAGGAAGAAAATACTCTGAGCGTTATAGTATATGACAATTAAGTTTTCAGTAATGTAAGTATGTTCTTATGAATACTTTATGCGAATTTAACCATTATTTAAGACAGTCGTCGCTAGGTTCGCTTAGACACAAACTTTACACACGCCGCCTATATAATTAATTCACTTTTTTGGTCAAAGACTTTTGTTCAAAAAAAGAATGTAACGGCATAACCGGCACGCCCTTAATAACATAACCACATCGAGTTAGACAACGACCGTTTTTGTTCGTTCATGTAGGCTTATTCAATTCTATTGGTTAAATAAAAGAAATTTGAATAGCAATTTTGCTGGAAGCCATCCTTATAAGCTTCTTTTAGTTACCCTTCTAATCATTTTTGCAACTATTTGATTAATTTTTTTGCGTTGGTGTGATTGGCTATATTTTTTTCTCAGAAAAATTGCCAATTGCTACCGGTCTGTGTGAAATACATATGTAGATATATTGATAAAATTGGAGGATTAAACCATAATCTTAACAGAGAATGGTAATAATTTTTAACTATCAGCGATAATAACTACTTTGCGATATCAACTCAGAATAAACGATTGTGATCTTCAGCCGATAAGCCTTGATCCAGGTTTCTGCTATTGCCGAAAATGTTTGAGGGTTCAAGCTCTCCTAAGTCCACACGTGCAACGGACAACGGGCTCTCCCGATCTTTCTCGACGGGACTTCCTGGTCTGGAACTCGTATGCGTAAGAAAATCGCGCCAATCTTCAGGCGAACGTCCCGAGGCTGAGTGTTCAGATAGAAGATCGTCGGGGTGTAACTGTAAGCATTTAATTATAGTTTAACATATAATGTTTATACTGAAATGAATACAAGTGTGTATTTTAAATTAAAGACAACAATAATCAATCTTTTGAATTATAGTCGAATAATTTCTCATCAAATCATTGTAGCATTGCAATGTAAAAAAATAAGTTGTCTAGAACAAAAACAATTTTCTCTTGTTTTCGTTTTTATCGCCCATATTGTTAAACGAAGTTTATATAGCAAGTGAACCATGCATCGTAACAAGAAAATTACTGAGATTTACTTAAGAACAAATTTAGTACGACTTACGATGTAATCACGAAATCGGTACTCTTTGTAGGTTGTACACCGATCTCTCTGGTCACGATATTCGTTCTGGCAGGTCTCACGGCTCGTATTAGATGGATGTCTACGTGAAGCATGCAAACGGTCTATGGACCCAGATTGATGAGCACCCCTAGACTATTACGCCATAGTAAGATAAATGTTATGAGATAGTAAAATATGCCTCTGTATAAAATAATAGGTACCTTTAATTTTACTTAAATGAAGTAGATTGGAATATTGATCTAATTCAATATGCTGTCGAACCCCAGTACATAGCTTCGGCTAACCTTCCTCTCGTACTATTGCGTGAGGCAAAGTGGCACCTATTATTAAACGTTTCCATAACTGCAAGCATGCTTCTGCGAGCAAGATACATTAACTATGTTGTAACACTTATTATATGATGTACTTGCCATAAAATCAAAAACCCTTAACCAAGAAGCTTGCCCCTATTTCAATAATACATGCTCAATTTAGCTCACTCTGTTACTTTATATCTCGCAGGTGGGACTGAAAGCTAAAAATTAATTTTGCTATTTTTTTTTACTCACATGGTAATCGCTGATTTCGTTATCAATGCGCGCTGATTCATTGGACCTCCAGTCATGATCCACATCACTTTCAACTCGCTCAGTACGACCACCTACACATTACGTCAAACGTGTGTATATATATGTTTTTCTTCAATGCTTGTTGTACTTTTTGTTCAATTAAAAGCAAATAATGGCTCAATTAATTGTTTGCTCAAAACTAATTCACTTACGCTCCTGCAGCTCAGTACTATGACGTCGGCGATTATGGTAAGACTCTCCTGTAGGGGGCGGCATATCGTATCCCTCCAAATAAGTTAAATCGGCTGTGAAATTTTATGTCTTCATATTAGAGGTAAAGTCAATAACGATAAGGTAAAAAGAAGCAGGGTATGGTCTTGAGTTCTGCACTTACATAATAAAAACGGCTACCGCCACAAATCCAATGTATTTTATTTAAAGTTGCGTATTACCACCTATGAATTTAATGGCATTCAAAACGTTTGCGTAATTTTATTAATAGGTCAAGTTAGGTATGTGTAATGTTTCTACATTACATGAAATAAATAAAGCTAGATGGTCTTCTTTCGTTGGTAGCGTACGCTTATGATACGTGCTTAAATCTAAATCCTATGGGCGCAACTACAATAAATACAAACATTTGTTTTGTATTCCATCTTGTGTTCCAGTTTGTATGCATCGAATGCATTATATCTTAAACGCACCATACAACTTATCAAGATGCACGCATCAAGGAAACATTGATCCGTATCTGTCATAGAACGGTGTTCGTGCGTTGACTTTTCTCCAGCAATTCGCATTGGTTTTTTATGTTTTTTTTGACACCTCGAGTATCTGTTATATATTCTCAGTCCTTTCTTATCGTTTACCTATTCGGGAGGAACAATGGTCGCTGATATACTACTACGTTAATCCTTACTTCTACTTACTATTAGTTGCATCGGAGCGTCTGTGATAGTCACTGCGTTCGGTCGCTTGCTGTAAGTGTCCAGGCAAAGATTCTTGTGCTTCTGGGCGATGGCTTTCGGCAGTAGCAATCTTTTCAGCGGCTTTCCTCTGTTTAGCTTCCTCGACTAACGTCTTTTGTTCGTCCAAACGTTCATGAATTGCCGCCAACGACCGCTGAGAACAATACACACGAACTTCACGCTCCGACATTTCAATGGCCCTCTCTGCTTCGACACCTTTAGCCTCAAGTTTAGCTTCCACTTGAGCTTTTTGCTCAATCATATTTTGTACCTCCTGCTCATTATTACATTTTTATTAAGATTATTACGATCAAAAAAAGAAAAAAAAACAGTATAGAACATTACCATATTTTAATAAGGCTTTCTTTTATTGTAAACAAAAGTTAACCTTCAAAAATGCTGGCTTTTTGTCGTGATCGCTCTGTGCAACATTACCCCAGTTAGCTAGAGGCACCGTAATTTATAAGCCAAAGCTAGGCATAAAGTCATTATAAATCTTTTGAAAACTCAGACAGATCAGTGTGTGCTTTCAGACTCCACGAATTGTTTTTTCAAATTGAAGTACTCGTAATAATAAGCATTCGCTTCGCAACATTTTGGAAATTACATACCTTTATATCGAGTTTTAATTTTAGTGGGAGAGCGACGGAATTGGAAAGGGTTAGTGCTGGCATTACCTTTTCCTTTGCTAAATGGAACATCTTATCAATACTTTCTGCTTTTTGCTTATGAGCTTCCTGGAGTTCAGCCTCGAGGTGCCTATAGTCCGCTATAGCTCCTCGGCTAAGTCTGCTGTTTCCGGCAGATCCAGGCGAGTTTGTCTGACCGGGCTTACACGCGTCCATTTGAGAGAGAGCGCTTTCTAGCAAAGCGTTCTGTTCACAGAATTAGAAAGTAAGAATCAAATTCATGGTTATAAGATATTGATCATATCGTCCGTAGTTGCTTAAACTACTGCACAAGGGATCTCTCTCCGCGTTGCTTCCCTGCAATAGTTGTTTGTTATCAAAAGCTCCCACACTTAAAGATTTTTTGCTAATTGCAGGATTACCCCCATTAAGCCAGACCGGTAGATAACTACGCTGCCGCTTTGCCATCTTAAAAGCTATATATAATGTAAATTTAACGGAAAATCTATCGTCGTATTTAAGTTTTCTGATTTAAATGAACACGACTACTTACAATCGTGTGTGTATCTGCGGCCAGTTTTTCATGGAGTCGCTTGACGTCAGCCGATTTGGCCTCAAGGCGTTTTTTCGTAAGCGTCCTTTCGCGAACTTCCTTCGCCGCGTTTTGCGCCACCCGCTCCCAGGCGTTAGTCACTTCCTCTGCCTGGTTTCGCTCGTCCCGGAGGCGGGTAAGCTCTTTACTTTTTTCCTATTGAGATTTTTCAACGACCACGCCATATTTAACAAGAATATTCTGAGTAGGTTTCGTTATGAAACACGAGCCACATGAATGCAGCCTCTTAAATAAACGAGAATTTGATTTGTATTATTGGACATAGCTTAAAATGTGATTGTCATTCGTATTGGACTATTTGTATGTAACCCTTTCGCGGCAGGCTTGGCGAGTTTACTATACCAGATAGTTAGTTAATTAATAACAATTTAATAATTAGGTGAGCTTTCTGCAGTGAAAGCTGTATTTACTTATAAGAATGGACCGCATAATTTTTTATGTGTATTAATAAATTTTCATTAAAATAACTGAAAAATTTCTCATTGTCTCACTAAAATTGATTTAATGGTGGGTACACGGTAACATCCGAAAAGTAACTGACAAAAGTCGTAAGTTCGCGACTAATTAAATTGTTGCTGTTGTAGAAATTGAATTATGAGGTAACGTCAAAATTTGGTCGGCGGTTAGTCGTGCTAGAATCTACAAGAAAAATTCATGTCTATCTTCCGGTATTATTGTTTCCTCAGATTGGGTTTAAAAATCCGAGTTCGCAAACTTGTGCCCTATCATAGCCCACTGTGTATTGATTATTGGTCAAAAGACTCCTTCTATGAACTGAAAAAACGTTTTAGTGAAAAGGCCTTAGTATTTTAGCTTGATTTTGACGCAGCCGATAGATCGGCTACTGGAATTAGTTGATACCGCTAAGAGTTGAATGCGCTAAATTTAGTTCTTCAGATACGCCTTATTCTTTTCTATTTTTTAACATTACTTATCATTAATGAGGTTCGTATTCGAAACTATGAAGTTGATTAAGATCAGTATTATGTACGATACTAATGCAACCAATTGTAGATTGTTAGCCATGAAAGAAAACAGTCGCCCACACATGTTTGTGAGATACTCCTTTTTAGCAAAAACTGATGTCTCAAGCTTTTCTAGTAGCGTTCCGATATACATATTTCAGTATAATCAACTTGACGGCTAGTTCTATTGAGTTATTGACCGTTGAGTAGCTACTCACATGAGAGAGGTATAATTTTATTTGAGACAGACCTGAATTTGTTGCTGGAGGTCCCCACGACTCTCATCCCTTAGAGCTTGGATTTTTTCGCGTTTTTCTCTCACACTGCGTTGTGCCTCCCAGAGTCGTTTATTCAACGTCTCAATTAACCTATCCTGAGTAGACGACATCTTCGCATCAACGAAAGAGATGAACTATGTACAAATGAATTCTATTTCTTGTCAGCCAAATTTGCATGTACTAGAAGCGTCGACAAGAATAGAATGTTCCTCTATTCTAATCGAGCTTTACTCTGGTCGTCGTGAGCATTAGAAACGGCAGAACCAGCCAACGTAATATACTCCGCACAAAAATGACATATTGATTATGAAATAGTGTACTCTTTCTCTACTGAGAACAGGAAGAATAGCTAGAAGGCGAGCAGAGATCGCTAATAGAATGAAATGCTATATATAACACTTAAATCAAATGGTTCGTACGATCACTCTGCTACAATTTGCTCCATGAGATGTTTAGTGTACTACTAGAGATAAAAAATTATTTCGTTAAAATATTATTGATTGATATATTGAAGACTGAACAATGTGTACCTCCAAAATGAACTGTATTCTCTAATTTCTCTTTGCCTGGATATTAGATGGAGGCTGTCCTATTGTAGGCAAATCCCAAAACGGTTTCATTTCCAGACAGAACGCTGCGGCTGCAGAAGCCAATAACGAGCAGTCAGATTGCTTCTATAGAACAAACCACTAGCGACTAGGTGATACAAATACTATCGATGCATGATCTAATTCATTTGACTCCCCAGCAGATTTGGGGCTTGGTTCATGTACTGACTGACTACGTATTTCGAGTTCGTCATGCTTTAACCGGCTATTTCCTAACATACAACAAAGCGTATGCACGAATCATGTCAAACTTTATGGACAACCTTATGTGTTCCTAGTTGTCAACTGCACTAACTGCCACTATGCGACCGGTCTCGGTGTGGAGTCATGATCAAATCATCAGGAAGAGCCATATAACGTCCTCGATTATGCCTGTATACTGCTTTAACTTCTATCTGTCTAGTATTAAGGTATAGGCTCACGGAAGCTAGTAATTCTAGTTCTCTCTCGTTCCTAACCCTTATTGTGTTAAATATGTTCCTCTGCACACACTGGATGTACGTTGATATACGAAAATGATCTGAGGAACGAAGTCTTTATTCAAACGTGAGTACGGAATGTTCTGCGGACGTATTCCAATAGTTGTTTTATAAGTGTAGATTTTCTGCACTGGTTAGAAAGCTTCATGGCAAAATAATACTCGATTGAAAATAGACTTGGCAAACAATAATCGAATTACGTGACAAAGCCGTTTACGTTACGATGAGAACAAACGCCGCTAAAGCGTCGACCCGTTTCCTCTGATGATTATCATCTAACGTACGCCATAGTTAGGGATATGTGATACAATTTAGTGGACCTAAATGGCCTGCCGGTCGGGTAAAATTAGGCTTATAGAATAGACGATGTTACTTAAGACAGCGGTAAAAACTGGCCATTAGCAACGCGAGGGTTATTCCTCACATAATGCAAAAAAAACCCTGCTAGAACAAAATGAGTAGTTGAAAAAAGTATAACCCTTTTTCTAGTTCAATGGGCAAGATGCGTTATCAGAGGAAACGATCCAGTAATGCTTCTGTCGCTTTCATTCTGGGCACTCCGATATGAAAAACTCGTTTTCGACTGGTCGACCAATGGCGGATAAAGCTAATGAAATCACTGCTTTTTGCATTGAAAGTAGCCATTATATTTCCAAAGAACTAAACTTCTACCACAGACTTAGAAGATATTTGAAAAAAGGCTAGCTACAAAGAAAGCTTTGATATTTAGCTGCTACAAAAATCAACGTAGGAGTGTTTAGTCGATTAGACTTTCGTCTACGAAACTCTGCAGATACATAACAAAATTGAGTCATATAATCGTGACGGGCGATGAAGTAGATAGCACATGGTAATAATGTGTAAGTAAAAAAATAAGTTCGGACACAGCTTGACTAATGCCAAAGAAGGCGATAGTCTGGTCGGACTGGAAAAGAATCGTCCATTATGGGTTTGCCAAACGATTTATTTGGTCTACCCTCCTGACACGATTACAACAAGCCGTTGAAAAAATCGACCGGGACCGATGAACGAAAAAAATGTCCTCTTCCACCGTCACAATGCCAGATTACATATATTTTTAGCGGCCTAACAAGAACTGAGAGAATTCGGATGCATAATTGTAATGCATCGGCCGCCGTAGAGCCCGAGCCTCGCACTATAAGATTTTTATTTTTTTTTCTTTCTTTATTTATTTTCAATGAAGAAATGCGAGAATCGCTTATCACAGCTTTTGCTCAAAAATGACAAGAGTTCCACAGTAACAGAAGGTCATCGATCAAAACAGCGTATTAAGTAATCATATGTTACAGTACAAAAAATGTTTGCTTAAATTTTTGCCTAAAAACGGCTAATGGCTTTTACACAAGCCAACACTAATATGATACATTAAATCAAGCTAGTCGTTGGCTTCGCAATTGAATTTGTTGTGTGGTAACTTAGGGTAAGTAAGTGATAGTCAGGAACAAATGCGAAGTGAGGTTGTTGTCTATTAATGCAATTAATAATACTGTCATGCAACAGTGGCCGCGACGCTGTGACGACGACGCTGAAGTCTGGAAACGAGGCCATGCTAACAACACCCTCAGAGCGGTTCCAAAAGTTTGCAGAGAAGCTCGGTGTGCTTTTCAACATAGAGTACGGTTTCATAGGTTGGTACATATAGTTAGGTGCTCTAGGAAGTTTAATTAACTACCACAGGTATCTACGAGGTCTATTTGCCAGTGCATTTAGATACGCTGTTCCGTGGAAGTTAATCCTGCACATCCTGATTCGGAAAAAGGGCCCTCTATATATATATATATATATATATATAGTACCAATGATATCAAATAATCTACAAGATAGGAAGATCACGGGTACGGGCGTTTGCATAGGTACGAAAATGAAGGTCTCACAATGATTTACTTTCGGGCCGCATTGTGAGACATAACATACGTCAATATTGTTCGCTTACAGGGTCTTCCTTCTCAAAGAAGTAGAGATGGCGTCTGCGTAGACGATTTAGCTATCGTTATCCACGACAGATACGCTTTTGAGACGGAACCCTGATCAGACAAAATTCTGCATATCGATCGTTTAGAACTGAATGTTGAAAATATGTTAAGAATCGGCACCAGAGAACCCTATTAATCTAAAAAAATGTATGGCTAATCAATCTTGGCCTAAACGGTCAACCAATCAAGATAGTAAATGGTATAAGGTGTTTGAAAGTGTATTCGGATAAAACGCGTAATGGTAGATTTCATATGCAAAGGGCTGTAGCTAAAGCAAGCAAAGCAGCAGATTCGATAGCGGGGATACTTCCAAACATAGATCGCCCCATTCAGAGCCGCGATGCGGATGACGAAGGCATTATTTATCAGCTTGTAATGCTACTGTCCACGACAATTTAAATAAGTGTTCTCATTATAAACTAAAAAAAAATTATTTTCCCAAACGATTAGGGATCGTCTAGTGAAAGTTTGGCAAAAATTCAGAAATTTCATTAACTTACATAACTAACATACAAGTAAATCAACATAAGTATGAAAAGTTCGGTCACGCCATTACACAGCTTCTCTAAATGGGGTAATTGTTTGTTACATGGTTTACTAATTATTTAAAGCGAAACGACCCTCCATAGACATGTCCCATATACAGAACTATGTTCCTAAACGAGCGCAGACAGCTTAATATTAATGTTTCTATATTATACTATTATATCTACAAGAAATTTTGCGCTTAATCAATATCTGTGTAAACTAAAATATGGTTTGTTTTTACATTACGACTATAATTATACATAAGTAACCAGCTATGGTTTTTATTTTCCGTTTCGAATTTTCCGTTTTCGACTGGAAAAAAATTATCGAATGAAAGGATTGCATAAACATTGCATTTGAATATTTTACACGTTCTGGTAATCGCTTTATCCAGAATCTTTTTGCTTTTAGGTGTTTAGAGCATTTAAATAGCTTCCCAGAGGAATCCCTCAGATTTGTGCTACTAGTATCATGGCCCCGTCTTAAACAATTCACGCAGTAGTTCGTGTACAGCGAAAAGGGTCAAATCTTGTAACTCTTGAACGATTTTAGGCTTTTCAAATATGAAAAAAGCTCTAGTTTTTGGGTAACGTTTTGGTATTTCTGGATTCGAGGACACCATTGAAAGTTGCTCACTAGATACGATAGATAAGTAGATCCTACTGAGGTGTTCACAGCTCCAATACTATAGATCAAACCTTATAAATGTTCATCTTGGCATTATATAAACATTTCGTACCTATTAAAAAGCCGAAAACGCAGATGAATGCTGAATATCAATCGTACATGTTTTCGGGGTGGTACGAGGTTTGCGATGTGACGTGGTAGTTAATTACTATATGTATGTATATATATATATATATATTAACAAAACCCCAAATGTTTTGTCGTAGGCATTAAAGCGCCGTCTGGGGCACCATTTCTCTAAGCTATTCATGTCGACTGTGGTCGAGTTGTCGTATGATTTAGTGTTCTTCGAGGCCAACATGTCAGTGCTCGACTGAAGAAACGATCTTGAAGTATTCAACTTCGATCGATGGCATTGAATCTTTTTTTTTTTTTAATTTTCGTCCATGGAAGTGCCATAGAACACCGTAAGCGAACCGCTTTATCTTATTTAATGTATGTACTTGTATGTAATACTTAATTTATATGTAGTTCGCCCATGAAAAATCGAGATTTTTATGTGATCCATGTATTTCTAGCATGGTTTTAGATCTCGCAACAGCCTGAAATACAACTGCCCTTCGTTTAAACACTCAATCGCTACTTGTCGATCAGTTAGGTGTAGGACGACAGCCTAAATAACTAGTGAAGAACACGCAAGTTTGTGTCTGACGTTAAAATACTTCGCTTGTTTTTCTGCTCTCTTTGCTGTGCTATACGAAACTTCACGCCCTGCATTCGGTATGTCCTTCGGAGAGCCTTTTTTTGACTACTTTTATTTGCTATACATTCAAAACGTTCACTTGACAATGTTGAGCGTCTTAAACCCCCTAAA